TAAGTTTTGCACTTCTTTAAATGGTAGCTATAAAAGTAATATTTGCATAACACTTGTAAATAAGGTTGTAATTTCGTACAAAATGTTGGCATTGTAGTCCATGCACGTTATGTTAGTGTTGTGGAATATTTGATAAATGATTCCATTGGAAAATAAAGAAAAGATAAAATAAAACAAAAAATAATATCAATGAATTAAAAAAAAGGTCACACGAGGGACTCGAAGGATTAAAACAAAACCTCCCTCGTAGAGTAGGAGGTCAGGTGTCACATTACCTAATTGTGATCCTTCATTTAACTCGCACAAAAGCCCTGCGTTTTCACACTCCTTCATGACAAATTTGATCATATCTGCGAGATTCTCCAAATCACAAGGAGGGACAAGGAGCCCTGACTGTTTCCTACAACTAGCGGTGTTATCATTGGGCCGCCCGCCTCTCCTACAGCCATACCAGCGGATCGTTCCGTCGGAATTGATCCATTTTTTGACATCCCACTTGTTAGCCAAGGCCACATATTTTTCATGCGGAATTTCTTGCACATGAGTCTCAAACATAACGTCTGGACAGCTGACAACGACTTTCTCTGGATGTTTCAGTTTTATTCGCCAGAAAATATCAAGAAAGGCACCAAAAGGCAGTCTAGGAAAGAGAATGCAATAGATGAGGTCAAAAGCTTTCAGCTGTCAGAGACTAATATGGTCTAATGGCTCCATTTGGGGCAGGAAGAGAGTCACTCACCTTTCGCGGATCATTTAAGACAAAAATACGCCATAACAACACAAAACCATTTGGAGCCTATTATGTCAGTTTGAATTTAACATAACTTCATAGAGGCTCAGAAAGAGCTCCCGCTTCCGTAAGCATTTGTGAGAAGCTTCGAATTGATAACCACTGTGGAACTCATAACTTACGTTGAGAACAATGCCTAATTCTAAAAGAAGTAACAAGACATTTTCTACTTAAAACCCAACATGGATGATTCACCTTTTAAGTTTATACCGGATAAAACACGTTCCGAGAAATAACATTCAAATGGCTTCGCCCATTCTTACGCAGCTGTATTCCGGGGTCTTTAGTAAGGAAAGCCACAGTGAACAAAAGAAGTCTGCGACATTTCTTGAAATCGAAACTGTTTCCCCTCCCTAAAACAAAGATTGGTGTGAAAGAGACAGGGTTGGAGAAGAGAAAAATCTCATCACGATCTTCTCCCTTCTCCGCCTAAATCTACGCCTCGCTTTTATCGCAAAAAAAAAAACAAAAAAAAACAAACAAACAAAAAAACAATAATCGAGTCCTATTTGGATACATGTGAATATCAGTTGATATTCTCTCGTTAGATATAAATATGCAGACTCACTTTTCATCAAATCCAAGTTCCTTAAGTTCTTTCGTCTTCGCCATAAATGGACCTGGAAGCACGTCACACACTAAACAATCGGTAAACGAACGATAATAACCATCCAGAAAAAAAGCAACCCAGTTTCTGAAATTCACTTGAAAACAGCCTTTGTCCCATTCGCCACGTTGATTTTTGTGACTCCCTCCTGCAATGATTGTATCTTTGTTCTCGCTGAGCACCCGAATGAGTCGCTCAACATTTACATCATCAGTGAAGTATGTAATATCCGGTGCAAATAGTACATAGGGCGTGGATACTGTTTTGAGTAACATCGACCATGTTTTTCCGTGAGTTAGGTCATCGAATACCACGTTGGTTATGTTTGACCCAAATTCTTTTAAGTTTAAATTTGTCTTCGACTTGGACACAAACATTACTGGTACGCTTGGATAATAGTTTACGATGCCTTTAAAAATGTTTTGTAAATTTTCGGTCGAGATCTCTTCAGGTGATGTAACAATCATGGTCACAAGCTGGTCCAGTGGAACAAAGTCTGAACAATTTACTCGGTCGAAACCTTTCCTAAACCGGGGAAACACGTACTCCCAACTCGGTGCCATGAATTTCTCAGCGCAAACCTCTTTCTTTAGCAAATAATTTACGGAAGAACTGCCCGCTGAATTGTTTTTTTTCAGATCATCAGTTAAATTTCCATCAGTGGATATTATTAACTCCTTGACAAGTTGAATATGTTTTTCTAAACGGTAGAAATGTAATTGCGAGTGTTGTAGGCTGCGCTGTGTCTCGGACAGTTCTTTAGCTAAGAGTCTTAAATTCTCGGTGACGTAGTGCTTCCTCACAAAAGTTGGGTTCGTAAGCTTGTGGAAATGCCTTATAGAATCAATCCGAAGACTGGATGTGAGCCAAATTAACAAGCCAATGTATGGTATTACAACTATCACGGCTAAAACGAAACTCCGTTTGTTTGGATACATTGCAACAATTTTTGTACCGTGAATTGTTGAAATGATGTGGTATCCACACTTTTTATTTTCTAGAGAGTTGATGATCTTTTTCCGTAAATATCAGTTATGAGAGTCTGCAGGGATAAAAACAAAACAAAACAAAACAATAAAATGACGATTTAATAAAAAATATATATATATATTCAAAAGTTGAACGAGGCAGTACAGGTGGTTTCATTTCTTTAAACAGCGCAATTGAAAACTTTTCACCTGAAGAGCTGCAACAAATCACATGCACATCATGTATGACTATAGGGGCATGTCAAAGGCTAAACAATTTATTTATCACAAGAAACTCTGTGTCAGTGTGTAAACCGTATCTCCTCTCAAACGTGTGAAATTAATCATGCGAAACTTTGTATGTAAAACAATTTTGCCTCGCAACAATAGAAGCACTCATAAAGAAAAGCCCATTTTGAGGTTGATTTTTTCGCTTCTCGGATCGAGCGTTCGGAAATGGAGTCTGCAGCCTTGGGCTTTTCTTACGTACGTAGAAAACCTCGAAATGGATAACTCGCTAAAATGGGTTTTTTCATCAAAGTAAGCGGTCAGATAGCAAGCGAGGCATTGTGGAGGTAAAGGAAGGTATTTTTATTGAGAATTTGACTGTATTTTTTATTCCTAAGAGCGGTCGTAAATATTATTTCGCAAGATAATCATCTCACAGCTGGAGTCTGGGCCGCCGGTTGATAGCCTTTGAAAAATTTACTCGTGCTGAATTATACCATATTGCACTCGAAATAAGGTGACTACCTCTTCAAATTATCACCTTTGTCAGGAGATTCAATCAAGATACCAAAGAAGTCTCTCGAGTCTGTTTTTAGATTCGCACTACGGGATACCCATGTTCCGGACCACATTTAGTATCTGGGCAACCGAGCTCGATTCATGTTCAAATGAAATGGTACTCGAATAGCAATTCGAGTACCATTTCAAACCAACCTCGGTTCAACGAGCTCAAAATGCGGTCAATTCTATTTGAGCTCGATTCAACTATATCGTGCTCGATTAAAAGGACGAGCTCGGTTTACCTCGTATTCTATCGAGCACGGTTTTTTCTATCGGTTTCATATTGAGCTCGGTTTGGTATCGAGCTCGGTTTAATCTTCATTCAGCAAATGAGAGGTAATCTGGTACCAAGACTTGGGAGGGAGCATGGGACGAGCGAGAGTGGCCATGTTTCTGGCAAATTTGTCGAGTTTAGTTCGTGAATTCGGGACTTTTTAGGAGTATGTTTTCGGTCGAATTCGAAAAAAAAGAAGAAGAGTGACAGAAGAAGAGCAAAGAATGATTTATACTGCTAAGGAGATGAAGGAAATGACACTAAGGTGAGCATTGGCTCTTTGCGGGAGGGTGTTCCGAGTTGCTGGTTCATAGTTTCTAGTAACGTTTTGATCAGTTTCAAACTTAAGCTCAATCCTGGAGTGTACGTTTCTCGGTTATTTTAAATCTCAGTAGTGTAATAAGAAAGTGTCTCCCTCCATTTTACAAACCCCAAGTTTACCCCACAAAAAAGTATACATGACAACATGCAACAATACACACATTCTATTTTTATTATATAAGCTCAATACACTTTCGTGTTTCTATTTTAATTGGTCTTCTGTAACGAGGAAAAGGAACAGAACTCTAATGAAATATGAAAATCTTTTGGAGAATATGACAAACAAAAGTCTGAAAAAAATGTATGTTCATCCCTTGCAATCAAATATTAAGAAGAATAATATTAACTATACTGAACATATGCATCAGTTATCAGATACCATGGTTGATTGACGACATTTCACGAAATTAAGAAAGTGTGGCGGGCTACTGTAATTGTTAAAAGAAGCTAAATTTTTAAATATAAAATAAACATACAGTTCAAACTGTGTTTGTTTCACTCATTCTATTCAGATATTGCATAACACAATCACACCGCAATATTATTGATACCAGTGAGAGAAATGTATTTGTGAATCCAGATTGGTTAAATGTTTGCTAGATGAAGACAGATTTGCCAATTTTTTTAAAAGTGAGTAATTTTCAGGAATTAGTTTGATAGTTGAGAGCAAAGAAGTTTCCACTATTAACAGGTCTTAAAATGTTCAATCCAGTTATTAATGTGTTAATAGATCCACCAAAAAGCCATTAAACAACTGCAACAGTTCACTTTTAACAAAATAATCAATGCTTGTTGATCTAACCCTGGTTTTTAAAAGGCTTGACCTAGCCCTCTTCATAGACTGCAAAAGCCATATCTTTAATTGGCAGTCATGACAAAAAAACACAAGGAAGACATTTTGGGCTGTACAATTAGACATTATAAAAATGCTAGTTCATTTTTTTTTTTTAACTGAATTGAACATTTTATGACCTGTTCATGAAATTAATACAAGTTGAGGAGGTGAATAATAAATTAACTAATATGAAGTCTGCCATTTTCGTCGTTCTCAATTCCAGGTGCCATCACAATCCTTCAAAAACAAAATCAATGTGTTTACAAATCACAAAATTGTTCTGCTAATTATAATTGTAAATCTCTTGTCAGCATGTTTGATTTCAGGAACAAAATCCAACTGTTACTAGCCTATGTACATAATCCATTTTTGATATTCTTGTTTTTCCTTGACAGACTTTTGATTGAAAGCTTTTCACTGTTGCACGCATTACATAAAGAGTTTAAATTTGTGTTAAATGCTGCAGCATTTATCTGTATCACAGTTTTACACTCTGCGTACTCATAATCTTACCAAATTTCTCTTATGTTGAAGGGTCCTTTTTTGCCTTCTTTCTTTTGGCTGTTGTCCTCCTGTCCCTCCTTTTTTTCTGTGTACCTTGTTCTTTTTCTTTAATTTCTCTCTCTCCTTTCATTTCCTCATGTTCTTTTTCTACTACTCCAGCTGGTATTCCTCCATTCCCTCCTTTATCTCCATTTTCCAATGTTTCTTCTTCATTACTTACTCCTTTTTCCTCTTCCTTTTCTTGTTATGACTGCAAATTAAGAATATGGTTTTTGCAGTCTATAAAGAGGGTTAGGTCAGGCCGTTTAAAAACTAAGGTTAAATCAAGAAGCATTGATTATTTTGTTAAAAGTGAACTGTTGCAGTTTTTTAATAGCTTTAAGAGTTGATTAGATTGGTGGATCTATCAATACATTAATAACCAAGATTTTCATATTTCATATGAGTTCTGTTCCTTTTCCTAGTTACAAACGACCAATTAATATAGAAACACGAAAGTGTATTGAGCTTATATAATAAAAATAGAATGTTTGTATTGTTGCATGTTTTTATGTACTTTTTGTGGGGTAAACTTGGGGTTGGAAAAATGGAGATAGACACTTTCTTGTTACACTACTAAGATTTATCTGATAACTGATGCATATGTTCAGTATAGTTAATATTATTCTTCTTAATATTTGATTGCAAGGGATGAACATACATTTTTTTCAGACTTTTGTTTGTCATATTCTCCAAAAGATTTTCATATTTCATTAGAGTTCTGTTCCTTTTCCTCGTTACAGAAGACCAATTAAAATAGAAACACGAAAGTGTATTGAGCTTATATAATAAAAATAGAATGTGTGTATTGTTGCATGTTGTCATGTATACTTTTTTGTGGGGTAAACTTGGGGTTTGTAAAATGGAGGGAGACACTTTCTTATTACACTACTGAGATTTAAAATAACTGAGAAACGTACACTCCAGGATCGAGCTTAAGTTTAAAACTGAACAAAACGTTACTAAAAACCATGAACCGGCAAGTCGGAACACCCTCCCGTAAAGAGCCAATACTCACCTTAGTGTCATCTCCTTCATGTCCTTAGCAAGATAAATCATTCTTTGCTCTTCTTCTTTTTTTTCGATTTCCGTTCCTTCGAAAGTTAAAAAGTGTTATTCCTCCGTGACACATTCGTTATTAGGAGGCAGTTGAAGAGATTCAGAAAGAATCGAAACTGCAGCCTTTCCCAAGAATCTACTCATTTAGCAGCAGTTACACTCACAGCCGATTATCACATCGCAAACAAAATTCATTAAAAGATATCTTGATAACAGCTAAGCTTTCAGGTCAGAAGATTTAGAAGCGCAAGCGAATGGCAGGAGTCGCACAAGCCAATCAACACCTTTTAACCATCGACTACCTTCTGATTTCCGGCTTATCCGTTGTGTCGCCGTGTGCATTGTGGACTGTTATTTATTGGCGAGTGACTTCTTTCGTTGCTCTTATTCATCTGTCCTTCATTCAGTGATCAAGAGAGTAGATTTACCATACAACACTCGCCATTAATAAATTTCCTTTTACCTTGGAAAGTAGATTTACAACACAATTGAGTATACGATAGTAACGCTATGTAACGCAACAATAGGCCTGTTCTCGGCCATAATTGGTCTCAAACATTATCAATTAAAATGCGAGAAACGCATGTACCTTTTGAGAGCGTTTGGTCAGAGCTGTTGAAGAAGGATCAAAGTGGCCATCCAAATCTTTGAAAGGCTCCAAACTACGACGTACATCAAATTTGACCTTTTCGAAAACCGGTCTCAAATTACTTACTGAAAAACAGTGATTGCGTTTGTCCTTAGGAACTGTAGAATGCGCGACAATTACGTACAAAAAATACTTTTACACATTCAGAACAAATCAAATTACATTTACTCATGGTGAAAGGAAAAAAGAACGGCCTAAAGTTTACGGAATGTTCAGTCAAAATCTGCCAATTTTTGCTGCTCTCACCGCCATATTGAAAATGAAGCTACCACAATGCAACGCAATCGGAGTGCGCACACCACCCGGCTTTAGATAATCCACTTAATTCCCCTAGCTCAGTCGTAGGGTACTAAAAAAAAACAGTCAAGTTGTAAATGAAGTAAATTTAGTGACGCGTAAAGAACCGCAAGTAAAGTATAAAGGCAAGTTATGTAAATTCTACTCTAAAAAAGTACTCGGTATTTCTGATTAATTTGAAGTTGATTATTAATAGCTGATAAATACCTGATCTCCAGTGTTATTTATTTATTCTATACTCCCTTGCCTTGAAAATAATTAGGGTTTAACGCATTTCTGCGAGGGTATTTTTTAGAACTCAATTTATTCATTCGGTATTCTCAAAAACTGCACTCTGCAAACAAGAGCGAACGACTCTCTTCAAAATGTAAACAACAAGCGGTGAATGCATTCAAAGAATGACATAGACTTATAAAAGTGTCATTTCACTTTTTTCACGTTTTTGTCCGCTTTCAGCTTTATTTTTTTGGTTAAAGACGTTAAACGAAACCTTGTGTTTTAGTTACGTGAATCCAGGGCCCGAAATAACAGCGTACACCGAAACCTCATTGGTGGGTTCACCACGATTTGCAAGACAACCCGTGAGACCAGAAATATCTAAAATCAAAACAAGAGGTGACATCGATTGATCAAAACTTGCAGAGGTAATAATTCCTTGAAATAATTTGTAGAAACGCTTGCATAGTTTGATTGCTCTAAAGAAACGAATAACTATTTTGATTGAATGAATGGATAACTCTTTAAGCCGATCCTGATAGGCGAGAAAAAATTCTTCAAGATCGACGAGTCGCTGCTCTTTGTTCTGGGAGTACTTAGAAAACTTCAAAAGAAAAAAAATCCAGTCTCGGTCTACAGTGATCGAAATTTCTCGTTCAAGATCTCTTTTTGAAGCTCTTAAAACTTTCCGCTTTAAAAGATACGTATCCAAGTCGAAGAGGTTTCGCGAAAGACTGAAATCTATAAACTTCCAACACGATATGTGCAATAATTCTCTGCCGTTTCATTGACACATTTAGAACAAAAGGATACGTTTAAACCTTTGCGGCCCAGGACATCTTATAATTAAGCCATTGTTCCATACCTTTGAATTCGCTTCTGAGTCTTCTGCCACATACCCTCACCTTATTTTAACCGAGTGAAAACAAGCACTCTCGAAGGCAACTCCGAATGAATAAATTGAGCCTTCAGGGTACAAAATCTAGCGGTTGTGCCCATTTCTAAAATACACACTTAAATCGGAGTGAAGTTGTAATGTCGGCTGACTTTAATTGTGAGTTTTCGGATCAACATCAAAAATTCAACCATGAAATCCTCTCCAACTTCTTCGTGAAGTTCTTAAAATCCTCTGCCGTGCATGGAAGTTTTCGTATTCTTCCCTTGCTTGAAATAAATACGATCATGGTTGGTCCAAGTGAATTTCAATTCGAGCTTTTTCTTGAGTTCATTGACCGAATTATACAGCTTCTCAGGAGTCAATGATAACGTGATAGAGATCTTCTTACTGAGGTCCAAGACCGCATTTGCAACATTTCACGTGATTCCTGTATTTACTAAAAACATATGAAAAACACTGTCTGAAAAGGATAACGAAACAGCATGCTTTTCAAGTGACGAAATAAGAGTGGAAATGACGTGAAAATTACGTAAATATCTCCATTTTTCATGTAATATTACTCACATTGTTTCAAATTCTGAGAACATGCCTCATTATAAGGATAAGAATACACCTGGCTTAATTCTAGTGGTTAAGAAAGCATGTGATTATCTATTGTAAAAAAAGATAACGAAATTCACACGCTTTTCGCATGCCTTTCACATAGCAATTTTCAGAGCTGGTGAAATTTTCAAGGGAAAGAAGATTGAAAACTTTGTGAAGACTGCGTGAAAATTATCACTCTTTTCACATGGGATTCACATGCTGTTTCACATTTTTGGTTCTGTTTGCGATATACTAAACAGCAACTACAAATTCCTTGCCGTCGCAAAACTGCTCAATCGGCAGCGTACATTTCAAGTCTCCAGTTACGTGAAAAGACATAAAAATTTCAAGCATCCTGGTGTATTTTTAAGGTCTTAATATTACAGGGCAAGAAAAAAGGGTGGTCATCAGATCGCATAATACACAACATATTAAACAGGTAAAAAATACCTCGTGGCATTTATCAACAATGCAAGAACCAAATCTGAGACGAACACTTCTTCGGTCTACAGCGAGAATTGTAGCCTTGCTTGTACTTAAATGGCACCGTAAACATAACCTTCTTCGCCCGGCGCGATCAAAGTTTGAAAACGTTGCATTTTAAAACCGTACTATTTTAACGGACTCGTGTCCGAAAGCTCGCGAAATCCTTACCTCATTCCGTGAGTTCGAAGTGCTTATAAACAACGCAACGACAAAATATCGAAACATTTCTACAAGCGAAAATTGTAGCCTTGATTGTACTTTACCACCACGGAAACATAACCATCATCGTCTTGAGCGATATGACTAAGAGGACATAGTAAATTTACGAATTCATTTACTGACGCTCGCGCGAACGTGACAACGATGCTTGAGCTCGAAGTATTTAAAAACAGTGTAAAAAATAGAAACACTTCCTCGCACTACGATAGAAATTGTGGCCTTGCTTAGAGTAGTTCGAACACAGACGGATATGTGTTGGTATGTGAGTAACAGTAATGATAAACGAAAAATATCAATAAACAACCTACCTCTTCCTTTCTTTTGAAGGTATTTAAGGTAGAAGAATCATTCTGGCGGTTCATCACGGGTACTCAAGTTCCGTCTTGTGTTACTAAGCGCCAAATTTTTAAATTGATCTCCAACAGGAATTTCCAAAGGAGTCGATGTCTGAGCTACCTTAATGGCATTTATGCTTCTTTCAGCGGGCTGGCTCTAGGTTAGTCTGAAAGAAGGGATCCCGATCTCTCGAGGCGATAAAACCGAAAACTCCCTCTCGCTTTGGACTTCATCACAACCACTCGTATTTTTAGAAATGAGCCCACGCTCATTTAAGCGGACAACCTATTTATATCGTTGACGTAAACAATAAATGCCAAACGGGGTAAGTTTCTAAAGAAACTCTGAAGCTGCGTAAGTGGGGGAGTTTTTAAAATTACCCTTTATATTTTATAGCCTAACAGCCCAACGTTTTGCTAATTTGGGGAAATCTGCGTACTCCAAAATATTCATACCGAACTTACGCTTCCGTAATCCTGTTGTCATTGTAACATTCTCCAAATAAACAGGCTACAGTTTCCTTCCTGATAAAAAGCCACACTCCATTTCGTATGCTCAACTTTAGTGCTTATGCCTACCTTCATTTTTAGCTTATTCATGCTGAAAGCAATGAATGAGGTATTGTGGTGAACCAGATGTTGACGGAAGTTGTCGACCGTGGACGGAAGTTGTATTCCGTGGACGGAAGTTGCATTGTGAACCGTTGGAACGGAAGTAGTCTAGCATGCTCCCTACTCAGTGAAAGTCAAAATTAATTTCGATGAAGCTCAGAAACTCAAATCACATTTCCGAACTTCTGAAAATTCAACTTGAATCGAGAAGCCGAAATGTTCACACCTTGGGGACCCGTAGCGGGTTCATTTCAACACACGCTGTGACCACTCAGAAGAGCATCAGAGGCAGCCATACTGTTAAGCCTCGCATTTGCATTCGTCGTCAGTTGGTATAGAGTAATCATAGCTCCATCATTGTGCTCGGGAGCTCTTCAATATACAGTCTACACATCAATCACAGCGGCCAAGATAGTCTCAGTAAAATTTTTATTTCGAGCTCCAATATTTGGGTCCAGACTTGAGGCTCGCTCGAAAAAAAACATCAATACCAATCCGGTCAGTGCAAAATGCAAACTGCAGACTGCAGACCGGGTACGAAATGCAGACTGCGCACTGGGTACAAAATGCACACTGAGATTTCATACTGTTTTTTTCGTCTGATACGTGATAACATGCCAGCTTACAACTTACCGAGCGTCACGCAATCGCTTTTCCACGATCATCTTTCACGATTATTTGCACTGTTGTGCAATATTCCTTGCCCGTTTCTTGATCACAGTCGTTCATAATATAGCTTCAAACCTTCATATAGACGTCTTCTCACTTTGCGCGCGAGTTGGTTGGTGTGATGTCTTTAGAGAAGTTACCAACTTAATGGCATTTGGCATTTTGTTCATTTTGTTGACAAAAATGTGGACCGAGACCAAAATTATTCCTTCGTTCAGGGGTTTACACACTGAATTTCACTTATGTGCCTCATATTGTTTATAGCTTACAGTAGGAACCGGCGAATTTTTATAGGGAAAAGGGAAGCTTTGCTTTCGTGAGTGGCCATTTGCTTACTTTTCTGGTAGTTTTATCTCTCATCTGTTTGATGACTACGCAAAGGCTGAAGGCTTGAAATTCTGTTAAGAACGATTGTGGCCGCTTTGTTAAAAACCAAATGCAATGGCCGCTTTGTTAAAAACAAAAGATATCAAGAAACGGGCGAGGAATATTTCACAATAGTGCAAATGATCGTGAAAGATGAGGGTTACTAATATTTTGCTGCCAGAGCAACATTTGATACCTGATTATGCCCACCCAGCCCAATCTCCGCCCCACAAACACACACACACACCAACAAAAAGGACACTGTCTGCCTAATGACCTCTGCTCATCCCACCTCCAGCCCACACCACCTTTTCCAATGCTCATCACGACGAATATACAAGTTTCCTCATCACACACCTGCCTAAAAATAAAATGAAATTTATTCCGTAAGTCTTGAAAGTTGAATTCAGCTGTATCTAAATTCAACAAGTCCAAGAAATCAATACAAATTTACAGTGAGGACACTCGAACCATGAACACCTAGGGTGCTTTCCTCTGGGAGGATCCGGATTTGGATTTGTGATCCAAGATCACACAGATTACGGTGCATGAAAGGAACGGAGTTTTAGACGAGCTCTCAGAGAATTCCAAGAAGTGCGCTATTTTAAGACTTGTGTATGCACGTGGGTTATTGAGCTCTTCCCTGAATGGCTTGTCTAATTGCACGGGCTTTTAAGCGCACAATTTTTCTAATAAGAGTATTCATTAGAAGCACATTTTTTCATGGTAAACTCAAACGATGGAATTAAAACAGAGGCAAGTACTAATTACGATATGGATACTTGGGGAACCCTAAATGCCTTCGATCAGTGCCCAATCAATTTCACATTACAAAATCGATTTTACTTCGTGTTTATTGCAGAATTTGTGAAGCTATTGCCAATAATCTTTCCGGTCAATATATGAAGTACCTACTTGTTTGAAATTGAGCACCGCACCAGTACCCATATTTCCAGCTAGAGGAGGTGAGGCACTTTCAAGCTTACAGTATCTTGCCCAAGAACACGATGCAATACTCCAACGTTAGAGACCAAAACTGGACTGCTTAATGTCGAGTCCAGTGCACAACCATCCAGTCACCACGCCTCCTCCTCTGATCCTTATAACGGGAGTGGAGTGAATGGGGTCAATCAGGAAGGGTGGAATGTAGGATTTAAATTAATTATAGACACGTCTATAATTATTTTTAGGTTTTAGGCCGCTTGTCGACCAATTTAATGACACTTGCTAATACAAATTCATTATTTTTCTGGTAATTTTGTGTTAACAACTGAGTTGAAAACGTAAATTAGCCACTGTAAAGGGTAAAAAAGCTGACGTTTCCATTCGTTCGCTCTGACGAAGGGCTAACGCTCGAAACGTCAGCTTTTTTACCCTTTACGGTGGCTAATTTACGTTTTCAACTCAGTTGTTAACATTAAATTACCTGCTATACTCTCCCACCGACGCAGCACCACATTTTCTTTAGAAACTTACCGCTTTATTCCTTATTCTTCTGTCACCCAAAGTGATTTGAGAGACAAAAAAGAGAGGATGAATAAGTTATTTATCGGCTTGAGGTAGTGACCGACGTCTTTGCATAAAAATACTACCCAACCAGAAAAACGAAGATATGGTTATGAAAAATGACAGCGTAGGTAGGAATGTACTCGGCGACTCACGTAAGCGTTATATACCGTTGCCCGTGGGCAGAGATAGGAAAATACGGACCGCGCAAAGAACCAATCAGATTGCAGGATTCGTTACCGTGCCCTCTGAGAAAAAAAAAAAGAAAAAACTGCAATAAGGATAAATCTTAGGTGAGCTGGTGGTGGTAATACAGTTTGGTAAGCCTATTCATACACCAATCTCAATTAATGTTACTTTGTCGTTTGTGAAACATAGTCCTTTGTGCATCGTGGGTAGCTTGATCTCGCTTCTGTTTCAAAGGTAATCAAATTAAACGAATTATTGCAAGTAACATTCAGAGAAAATTACTTAAAACAAATTTGGATATTATTGGTTGTCCAAATGTGGATAAATAAGCTACCCTTGATGCACTAAGGACTAGGTTTCACATAGGGCAAATAGCAAAGCAATCCAAAGCAACATTAATTCAAATATTTGTGTCAAGTTTGGTTGTTATACAATGTGTTCCTTTTTGAGATATTGAATTTTTTTATGTTTGATGACATTATGAACTAAAACTGGAGTGAGCAAGCAAGTGACACAATTGCATATCAAACCCCACTACAAGGAACATTTAAAGGGGGGAGGAGAGTTTAAAGACTATTCAAAATTTATTCCCTCTAGCAAAAGAAGAAGTAACAAAAGGGAACACTGAAAAAGTTGGCATTTTTGGGAGTTCAAAAATGCCTCAAAATACAAGATTATCGATTCACTGTACGCACAGCTACGGGGATAGATTGGGTTTGCACAGCCTGTCAGTTTTTTTTTCAGGTGGCTAAGAGTTCCAGAATATCTATGACTGATGAGTTGTCAGCCGAAATTCTTGAGTCGTTAGGGTTCAACCCTTGTTCGACCCATTACCGTTTTTAAATGTAATACTTATCGGAGCTCAATTTTAACACTTAAAGATAACTATACTCATCAGTTTACTGTATTATCAATCGCTACAACTGACTATAAGCATTCTCTGTGAAAAGGTTAATGAGCTTGTGTCTTCTTTACTGGTAAACTTTGACTGTAGATGACTTTTCTGTTTAAAACACCTTTAAGTAATCTCTAATTTTTTGTTTTAAAATAGGAATTACCTGGTGATGATTCCATTCAAAACGAATCATCCATCATGGAGCCCCAGCCAATGAAGTGTCAGAAACCTTAAGTCTCGAGTTTGAAATTGTGAAGGATTCTATTAGGAGGGGTCGACCAAAGCTGATAGACAACTGTGGATATTCATATTTTAGGTTTTAATATAACAATAATAGTAATCAATTGCAAAGTAAGAGTTGAGATGGCAACTGTAATCAAAGTTAGGTAATAAGCTTTTCAAGAGCTATGTGTAGTGGCCTTGTTTCCGGTACCCACTAGATTCAATTCGTTTACATAACTATGAGTAGAAATCTTTTTAGCGTGCATATAGACTCCGAAATATATAGTTCAATTATAAAGGAAGTAATGTAAAATATATAGTTCAATTATAAAGGAAGTACTGTAAAATTTATAATTTTGACTCGTCTTTACTGGTTTTGTGCTTTCTCTCTCTTGTACCATTGTGAGCGATGCGCGGGCTCGATGATAACCACGATAATATTTTCCTATGGCCAAGCAGCATTCGTTGTTTGTACAATCGTCCTCTAGCAGTTTAGCGTTTGTAGCTAACTCTGTCAAATCGCAATGGGACCCCACTCGGGCACTTGTTTGGCTAGGTTTAAACTGGGATTTAATTACTAGTTATATTTCTATTACTGATAGAAGCATGCGCATTGCCAATTTCATTGTTCTCATAGACAAATTTCTCCTATCCGCTCCCTATGTTACGGCTCAGGATCGTGCCGCTATCGCAGGTATTCCATGTCTATGTCGCCAGTTTTGGATAACTTGACTCGTCTCAAAACTCGCTTTCTCTACAAGGTCATTGAATCCATGCCTAG